TTCTGAAAAAATTATTATTAATAATATTATTATTATTATTATAATTATATTATTAATTATAATAATAATTATTATTTTTATTATTACTCACTGTCATAATTTCCTCTTGCCGGTTCGTTATAAAACCTGCATATCTCCATAGTTATCGCTTCATCATCGTCGTCGTCACTATCATCTCTGACGTCATTTCTTTTTTTATTATCTTTGTTATTATTATTACTACTACTACCACTAACGCCGCTATTACTACTACTACTGCTGCCGCTGCTGCTGCTACTGCTACTACTACTGCTACTACTACTTTCATCGTCATCAACTCTGTAATAATCATCTTTATCATCATGGGATTTGTTATCTCTACGGGTTTTACTCTTTCTAACTTTTAAAACATCTTTGCCTCTTTTTAACATTTTACTGGCGGTAAACGCATTTTCGAAGTCGCCACTGTAGCTAACGAAACACTTCTCGGTACTCGATGGCGAGTATAAATGACACTTGATCGATAATTGTACCATTCCGTTTCGGTCCTGGCGAGAGATCGGCGAACAGCGAATATTATTCGGATCGTCCGGATCGATCAGAAGATTGAGAGATTTGTGGGATTTGAAAGAGATCGAACAGTGATGTATGATGTTCGTCGGTCTATCTGGGACCGGTTCTTCTATGCACTCCATTGTCGGTTCTGCTTTTTTTATCGGTATGTCGGTATTTTAGTGTTGGACTGCTCTTTAGTCGGTATACACACACACATATACACACAGACACACATACGCGCGCGCACACACACATTTGCACACACATATAATGGTATTAACAAAAGTTTTAATGATAGAAAAAAAATAATTTCTATGACCGTTGTGCCAATAAATAATTAGAAATATTGATCAGAAAAATGATAGACATGGAATATCGATGATGATGATGATGATGGTGACGACAGCGATGATGATCATGATGGTGATGATGATAGAACGATGATCACAAAAAAGGAATGAAGCAAAATTTATAACTAGCCAAAAACAATAAGATCGTATTCAACAACAATCCTTCCCTCTCTGATACAACTGTAAAGTCCTGGGGGTAATGGAATTTTTCATCATCATAATCAGCAGCGGCAGAAGCGGCAGAGGCAGCTGTAGCAGCAGCAGTAGCTGCTGCAGCGTCCTCATCATCATCATTAACAACAACAACAACATTACCGCCATCATCATCATTAAACCTGAATGACCGTTCACAGAAACGTTGTATAGGTCGAGATGATTAAAGCATGAATTATTATCATCATCATCAAACGCTTTAAAATCAGTTTGTTGTTGTTGTTGTTGCTGTTGTTGCTGTTGTTGTTGTTGTTGCTGTTGTTGTTGTTTTTGTTGTTGCTGTTGTTGTTTTTGTTGTAATATTTCACCGTCATCTTGAAACCAACTATTCTTTGTAACGCATTTTCTGGCTGGGATGATAGTAAAAATAATAATTACGACATTACTACAGCTGCTGCTACTATAGCCGCTACTTCTACTACTACTACAGCTGCTACTTCTACTTCAACTACTACTAAAACCAAATTGTTTTTTGAATACGAAAAAAAACCATTTAAATGAAAATCATTAAATAAACCTTTAACCAATCAATCATCTATTCATTGGCCCATTAGTCTATAAATCAATTTGATTCATTCATCTGAATCGATCGATCATTCATTCATCCGTTTCATTCATTCGTTTACATATTTGTTCGTTCATTCGCATAAATTTGTTCGTTCGTTCATTTTTCTTTCATTCATTCATTCATTCATACATTAATTCATTCATTCACTTTTCTACACAAACACACACATATAAATTGTATCCATATACATATAAATACATATATATTTATCTGGTAACTCATTAATTCATTCATTCCTTTATTAATTAATTCACTAATTAATTAATTCATTCATTCATTCATTTCAAACGCACTGTTTGGACAGTGAAGTCGAACGCTGGAGCCCTGCTTAACAATCTTTGTCAAGCCGCGATTGTAGTTGTTTGTTGATGTTGAACATGCCATTAATGTGTTGTTGTTGATGTTACTAGTGTTGTTGTTGTTGTTGATGTTATTAATGTTGCTGTTGTTGATGTTACTAATGTTGTTGTTGATGTTGTTGTTGTTGTTGATGTTATTAACCTTGTTGTTGTTGTTGATGTTGTTGTTGTTACGATCAACCAAACAATATGCCACCTAATTTAACCGTTGTAAAATGTATTAATGGCTTCATCAAGCTACAAATATTGCATACCTTCATATTCAATCATTTACATAAATACACACACGCACACACACACACACACACACATTAAAAAATAAAACCCCAAATACAAACTTCATAATCCCCAGTTCGCCCGCCTCTAGCTCCTCCTTCACTTCCTTCACCTCCACCATCACCAAACCGACAAACCTCCTCATAAGCAGCAAGCCCACCAGCCACATATTTCTTTTTACCTACACACGCCATTACACC